AACACAGCACTGTACCAGCTACTAGGAAGGAAATTAACTCTATCCCTGCTGAAACCAGGACACATGGAATCACATGAAAATTGATAGAGTTTGTAAACCACCACCCCCAGTCATCTCTAGGGCTAATTTCACTACTGTTAATACTGCCCCTGTAGTATAACTCTAAGCCTCTCTTAAAATTTGTTGTGACTGCAGTCTTTTTGGCTTGGTTCTATCTCAGGTTTACTAAGGTCAGACTTATTTATATGTATGGTCTGGAGATTGATTTTGATTTGTGAGGAGGGCACGTTTGTCTCCTTTTATGTGGTTTTTAGTACAGGTTTAGGTAGATGTTAATGTTGCATATGATTTGCCCCTCTTGCAATCAGAGAGTTTTGTAGTAATCATTTCTATTATGAAGCCACATGTAAATCTTGATGTATTTTCTGTGGAGATTTTTTACTTATAAAATGATTTTATAGCTGAAAACTGTGAGGAAATGAACTTTTAGTTTGTAGAGGGTTTTATTATTCGCACAGTAACATTCTGTTCTGTAATGTTAGACATTTTAGTGAATAAATCTGTCTTTGGAAGCTTATTTATTTCAAAGCATTTGTTTTTAATACTCCCATGGCTTTTATTCTTTAACATGCAATCTTTTGCATTTATTTTTTAAATTTATCAGCCTTGTACTTTAGTAACAGTTAAGAATTGGCTGATTGGATTTTGGGTGACGAGGGTACATAGAAGATTCAATCTTTACAGATGTTTCTTTGAGAATTTTTTTTTTTAAGAGATAAACGAAGAAATGATAAATCAGAAAAGAGAGATAATTTAAAAGCAGTGTAGATTCTCATTGTGGAGTTAACTTTTTTTCTTGTTTTAATTCCTGATCAGAAAAATAAGTCAGCCTAAGTTAGCCTAGGCCTCAAAAAGAACTCCTGTTTGGCAAATCTATGACTTTTATTAAGTTACTTTTTAGTATACACTTCAATTTCAGCTTCATTATTTTTAGTTGTATGTGGGATTCTTTGAAATGGAAAACTGTTGGAACATTTAATTTCTGTTTATTATGGACTGTTTATTTAATACACAGAAAAAACCAAAATGTTTTATTATTTTTGTGATAACTCTCTTTCTTTTCCTTTAGTATTCAACATGTGTATGGAGCTCAGCATCCGCCTTTTGATCCGTTATTGCATGGAACGTAAGTGAACCTAATATTTAAATATTCCAAGTAATTTGGATCTCCTCTGCCTTCTCTTCTCTCTTTCTTCCCTGTTAGCTATAAGGTTTATTGTTAATCTTCCTTTTTCAATTTTTGTCATAATCTTGAATTCTCTATTCTGACTTCTCTTTTGTGACTTCCTGGTCCTTACCATATTGGGAGCAACAAATCAGCTATTCAGTTCTTAACTAACATAGATTGCCAACTTTTATTATCTGTTTGCAGTGCCTTATAAATTGGAAATTGTATGGTAAATACTAATCTTACTTTAGCAGGTGAAACTTAGAACTCGGGTGTAAGTGGCTTTCCTACATGCATCTTTCTGTTGATGGACTGCCTTTATTTGTCTGTCTATAAGAGAAAAGAGTCAGGTTGTGGTGTAGATCATTTTGAGGCAAAGGTGGACATTTTGCTTCTGAATGAGAAGACAGTAGGTAGAATAGATTTTACAGGGATTTAAGAGTTTATTGCCTTAGATCATGATTATTGGATATCAGAACACAATGTACATGAAAGTGGCAACTTTATGTTAAACATTAGTAACCAAATAAATTTCATACTGATAACCCACAACTAATGCAAGTGAATGACTTTAATCTCCTTATGGCTGAGGTGTTTAGCAAAATGCTGCATTCTTGCAGCTTCTGCTTTTTCTATTTTGCTTTATTGTCTTTTTTTTTTTTTTTTTTTTTTGAAAGACAGTTTGTTTTAAGCTTTGTCAAGGACAAAGTTGTTTCTGGTTTGTTAGTAGATTTCACAGCTGCTTTGAAGCCAGCATTGCTGTTGAAACATTGGTGTATGGGAGAATTTTGGGAAAATTGTATGACCAATGAAATGAACGGCCCAAAGCGGTAGGGAGAAAAAAATAATGTTAGAAGGAAAAGTATTGGCTTGGAAGGAGGTCATACTTCTAGTGGATTTTTTCAAGGGCTTGTTGAAAATGGCACAAGAAGTAAATATGTGCTAGTTAATTTTCAGATGATACAGAGTTCAAGGCAGTTGAAATATGTGTCCTTGAGGACTGAAGAAAAAGGAATGGGATGAATTTGTTCAAAATGCGGAGTTATAAAGAGAGACCCAGTAACAAAAACTAGAAGCTTATTGCTTGAAATGATGACAGAATAGGAGAAAGACCTTGCTGTTCTCGGGCGAAGTGTTAGTGTTGTAGCACCTGTTAGGAAAGATATTCCCTGTAACGCATAACAGAAACATTACTGACTTTGTATGAAGACTTTGTGAGAACTTTTTCTGATTTCCAATTCTGGCTGCCTTGTCTTAACAGAAGAAAGTTCAGCTAGCACAGGCTGAAAGACAGGGATGGTCAGAAAGGGCAATTAAGGTAGTGGCAGTAACTTTTTCCCAGTCTGCTCTCAAAAAACCCCCCCAGCTCTCTCAACCTAATGCCTTACTTAGCTGAAATCTGAAGGGAGATGTGGTTGCTCTGCATTACTGTAAGTGAGAACAAGTGCTAAGCTAGGGAGGGATACTTGGTTCATCTCTCTTATGCTGCATGTTGACAGAGGGACAAAAGGTTAGGAGCTGATCAGGGTACACTTAGACTAGTAACTAGAGAAAATATCCTGCCTATGAGAAGAGCAAAGTTCTGAAGCAAACTTGTGCTGGAGTGCCTGAATGGGGAGGAATGATAGATCTAATGAGTTTTAAGGTGAGACTTGATTTGTTTATGACAGTGATTGTGTTACATGATTGCTTATGATGACTTAGGAGTAGACCTGATGACTTGATTACTGTTCCTGTGTTGTTACGCAGCAGTTGCATTGAAAGGCCTGAAATCTCTGCAGAAGTTCATGAAGCAAGAGAAGTGCAATGTGTCCTGTCTATCTTATAAACTTTTCCAGTAGTGTTCATTTTATTTGACTTTGGGGTTGGTCTTTTTTTGGGGGTGGTTTTTTTTGTTTGTTTTCTTAAGACAAGGGAAGGAAGGATTTGTTCAGCTTCTGTTCAAAGCCAGGAAGAGTCAGTTTTTACCTGCTCTTGTTCTCAGACATAGTCAGCTGAATGTTATCATGGGTGGATGTAACATGAGCGGAGGGAGATAAATATTTGCTACCTATATAATGTCAAGCGTGGACTTCTGTTTTTTGGCCCTCTCCATAGTGTTTTGTTTACTCCATTACTAGTTCTTTAAATATTGTTTGTTTATTTTTGAACAGCTTGATAAAACCAGGTTCAAAGCCACCTACAACGCCAGTGAAACTAAAGAAAGTCAGCACCTTCCAAGAATTTGAAAGTAAGACAAGTGATGCTTGGGATCTTGGGGATGATGATGATGAACTCTTAGCAATAGCTGCTGAAAACTTAAATACAGAAGTGGTCATGGAAACGGCTCACAAAGTAATTCAGAATCACAGCAAGTTACAGGAACAGCATAAATTTCAGGAAGAACATCTACAGGAAGAAAAACAATTAGAATCTGCAGAGCTAACTTCAATTGCATGTGGTGATAATAGGCTTGTTAAATCAGTCAGTGAAGGTCACACATCAAGTTCATCAGGTATGTTAAAAAATGAAAAAGATGTTGAAAATCAAATGAGGAGAGCTATAATAATTGCCCTTTAAGACATTAACACTTTCCCAACCTCTTCTTAATACCACAGGAAAATATTATTAATCAATATTGATTTATTTGAGGGAGATAATGCATGCCATAGTAAATCATAAAGCATGTGTGTGAGAAATACATGGGTGAGGGAAGAATAATTAAACTTTTTTGTTTTCAGCCTTAATACATCCTCAGTTTTGGAAGGAAGTTGCACTATTGAATGTATTTTAATGGTTAACTGCACCAAGATCTATGCAATTAATAGTATTCCTACTACTGTGAAAAATTGTTATTAAAATGCAACTGTATAAAGTATATTGAAAAACTGGAGAAAACCATGCATGTGGACTGGGAAGTTCATCCTCATGTGATCTGGTCTGTTTTTTATGTATAAAGTTTAAAGTAACGAATTGCAATGATTTTCCAGTCTCTTTTTTTTTGTTTGTTTTAGAATGGTGAGGGGGATAGAAACAGCTTTCAGTAGCACAGAGATTTTAGAAACCAATTAACCTTGCTGCTAGTATGATCTCTAATTGATGTGCTTTAATTGTGGAATACTGCTTGGAAGAGGAATGTTCCTCCTGCTAAATCAAAGTCATTTGAAGTCCAAACTTGTGCTACATTTGAGCTTACATTTCTCCAAAACATAATTCTATTTTAAATTTACAAATTAAATTCAAGTTATTAGTAGCCTTCTCACTAGTTGAGGCTAACTGTTATGCTTCTTTTTCCCTTCAGATAATGCTAGTGAAAATTCTTCCATGCAGAGATCACAGTCCCTTCCACAAGCTTCCACACCTCCCTTGGTGAGTGGAATGGCAGACTATAATACCTCAGTTACTCCTGCATTAACTGAAAGAGAAGCATCCCGATTAGACAAATTTAAGCAGCTGCTTGCTGGCCCCAATACAGATCTGGGTGAGTATTTCTTATAGGAGCTATGACTTACGTCTAAATTATTCTTTAACTATAACATTTTCCTGTTTGATGTACTGTTCTGCCTGATGGTTTGGTTAGGATCTAATCCTTTCAACATTTAGAATTGATCTTGTAAAAGAAAGAATATAATTGAATGCTTGTAGTATTCATGTTTGTAATATGCAATTTGCATACATCTTACTAATATGTAGGGTGTTAGATGGCTTCTTGTTCTTTTCTTTCTCACATTATTTCTTCCTACTGGACTGATCTCTGGAGAAAAACCAAAGTATAATTAGCTGTGTTTAGTGTTAATGCCTCATAATGGAACAGCATGCAGTATAAGAATGATTTGCACGCTTAGACATATGAATGTGAAAAATGATGAGGCGTGGAAGTATTACCGTTTGTCTACTCAGTGAACATTCTTCGTGTTCACAGACTGATACAGTAGTTCTGTGTCTCATCTGTGAATGCTGACAACATTTTAATGTGAAAACAAATGTATTGTTGGATAACTTGACTGTTCCCTTTGTGCACTGGATTTTAACTGCTGAATAGTAAACACAAGTGCTGAGAGGGTATCACAGAATCAAGTGGCAAGTGAAAATCTGGAGCAAGTAGAAATAGTACACTGCATTTGGAGAACTTGGCTGGTCACTTAGAAGTAGGAGTTTATGTCAAAATAATTAATAAACAAAATCGACTTTGAGTTAGACCATTCTGGAAGATATCTGCAGGAAACTCTTAGGGAAGGAAGTAGAAACTGCATGTTGGCAGTTTCTTGAATTGACGCTTTCCTGCCCTGTAGTTGTCATGAGACTTCAGTATAATACGGTCCAAGTTGTGGCTTTTTTTTTTTCTTTCTGTGCTGTGTCTTATTGTGAAATTGATGCTAGCGAAGTAAACTATGGAAACAACACTAACTAGATGAGACTTTACACTTCAGTGAGTTATAGGACATTCTTATGCAACTGTGAATAAACTCTGAGGTGTTAAAACAAACTACATATTTTATATAAGCTTAAAAATGATAAATATCATTTTTTCTCCCTTTGATCTAACATGTTATGACCGATGTGATTGTGACTGACATGAAAACTCGCAGCTTTTAAGAATGTTGTAATGGTAGAAATCTTTGTTACATAAAGTTACAAAGTCAGAGGGAAGACAAAGCTTAATTTAAACCTGTCCATTTTACTTTTGCTGTCTAATTAGATGGGAATACTTTCCCAGTAAATCAAACTTAGGGATTAAAGTAAAATATTTTGGAAGGGAGTGAAAGAAAATTTCCACTCTTACTAGGAGTGCAGTCACTCCTAGTATTTGTATTTCTGTTGACTTTGTTTTCTTGGTATAGTTTTGCATGTTGTTGAAAGAGATTGTGTGACAAGTGCTTTCAAAGCAATATAAAAGTTAATCTGTGGAATTGAAACAATGTCATGCACATTTTCAACTCGAGGCTTTTCTCTTATCATAACGTGAGAAATCAACATAGACTAAGAACACGAAGTAATACAAATGACCTTGAAATCCTTTCAGTCACACTTGAATAATGATTATCCTATAAAGACAGTGTAAAATGCAATGTTAGTTTTGTATGCCAACTAAAGGTTGAAAAATGTTCTGTCACAAGAAAACTCTCAAAAAGATGGATTATGTATATAAACTTGGAAGTGAAGATTATTTTAGCCATTGAAGTCCACTAATAGATTTTGGAGCTGGGTTTGGTCCGTAGGTTGGATATTGCAAAGTTGTGGAAATAGGTAGGTTCTATCCACCCCATCAAATTATACACTGAGCAAAATAATATACCAGATATAGTCTGCAATTGGAATATGAATCCACTGGTAAATATTACATAAATATATAATGACAGAACCTTTCTCAAAGTTTCTGTGTACAGTTTTATCCAGCAGACGCTTACACATATGAATAGTTATTAGAGCAAGACACAATCTGAGAACACAAACTAGGAAAGGAAATAAAAAACAAACCCAGAGTTCTCAGAATATAAAAGAATTAATTTTTTAAGGTTACTTAACTCTTATTTATGAATTTGAGCCTATTTCCATGGCTCAAAAGTGCCCTTAACTCATTTTCTAATGTTTTGTAGAGCTGAACTAATAAACTCACTCTTGTAATCTATATTTGCCCTTGTAGTTGTTCTGAGTCTTCCCTTAAGCCCTCCTAACATACTTTACTTCTCTGTCCTGCAGGCATTTTTGTTGTTTGCATGATAAACAGATGCAAACAATATGCCTTATTTCCATTTGGCATTTGCTATTGCTATGCTGTTATTGCCTCTAATATAAATGGGGAAGTATAATGTGAATTGGATGTCAAGAGTAGTTAGCTATGTGGGAAAAAAAAAAAACAGTTCCTATAGAAATGTTACTTCTAGGTATGTATGATTTGTGCTGCAGGAGAGAGGTATTCAAGAGCCCTGACAATATACCTTCAAGCAGTAATATAATGCAAAGAATGGGGGGGTAGTCTCATACAGTTAAAATTACAAAATGAAAGCTGCTAAACAAGCTGAACCATGTTAGAGCAAGAAATGTGGGCTGGTAGAAGGAGCCTGTTGTAAGAAGCAGTTCTGGTTGGAGGGGGACTTGAGGACTGACCCCTGTCAATTAGATCATATTGAGGTATCCTGGGTGCAAATTCAGGAAGGAGGATAGGACTGGAGGTACCAGTACAGCTGTGTTTAGTAGACAACTGCAGAGTAGGCTGTAGGGCCTGTGTGTCTGCATAGCCTCCCACTCCTGGTACTGCATGCCAGGTTTATTCAGAGAGAACAATTTACGCTAGCTGTTTTGTGCAATCAGCCTGTGCTTATGCTTGCCTTGCAGTCAATTTGATGTAGATTTACCTCGTTTCAGGCCTTGTATTTCCTTGTAACGGACCTTGGGTTACTGAATGAAGATGGGCTCTGTGCTTGCAGAATCTTTTGGAAACAATTGGTTGCTTTAAGAGGAAGGGAGGGGAAGGGACTTTAGCAAAGCAGTGTAGGGAGTGTATCTCCGAGGTGGAATTTCTCATTCCTTCAACAGATCACCGTTTACGTATTTAAGAGGGACAGTACTGCTATGTCTATCTGGTTTCCAGTTTAAATTTAATTCCATTAAATTTGTTAGACTTGTGTTTTTAAGTAGACTTGTACAATGTTTTAGGGAGCTGTTTGCTGTGCAAACACAATGTAAGCAAAATATGTTGATAAAAATCAGACTGACTTATAACAACAAACAAGTTATCTCATACTTGTAACCTCAGCATAGCAGATGTATGATGGGTTTTGTAATATCAATTTAAAGAATAGCTTATTAAAGCACTTCCTTAACTCCCTCTATCTTCAACTCAACTAATTTTCTGCTTTTTTTACACATGTATAGCATATGACTATGTAATTGGATGTCAGGAACATGTTTATTTAAATCCAGCAATAACCAACAGTAAGCCTGGCGTACTGTGTTCTCTTGATTTAGTAAAGCTTCATAACATTGTAATGCTACCGTTATGCAACATGGCACATGTATACCAAATTTTTCAAAGTCAAAACAACTAATTTTTTAAGATGTAAAGTTGTTCTGCGTGTCAAGGTGACTTTTCTTTCTGCTTAATCACAATGTATTCCAAGTTGAACAAAATAACATATTGAAGTTTTAGCATGCTACCTTGGTAAAAATAATAGAAGACCCTGTAAAAGCACCCATGAAAATGGTAAAGCATTCCTATCTTAATTTGCTCATATTGCTGTATCCTATATTCACCTTCAAAAGCTCTGTTTCTTTGCACTTTTTTTGAACTCATCTATTTCTCTTACTCATTCTAAAAAAAATCTCTAAAAAGAAAATCTTTGCAGAGAGCACAACAAGCTGCTGAGTGGGGTGCTGTCTCTTAGCCAGTCCTTTGCTATAGAAGCAGTAGATAATGTTGTGAAGTCTTACAGAACATATAAAGAATAGCTGAGCCTTTGAGTAATCTGATGACAAAAATTAATTCTGTAATTTTACAGGAATTACAAACGGTGTAATCTCAGATTATCTCATAACCGGTTATAGCTGCTTGCTCTGTGTACTATAATAAAAGAAATCTAGGGTGGTTCTCTGGAAAAGAAATTTAGAAAGAAAACTTAATAGATCTGATTTTTTTTCCTCACCACAGTGGTCATCTGTATTGTTGCAGCAACTTGAAAAGTAGGATTTTCCTATTTGTGCTTACAGTTGTTTATACATTCTAGATGTATATTAAAGCTGATTAAACCTAGTAATTACCTTTTATTTATGGTTCATAAATACTGTCTGTTACACCAATCTGTTATGTCCTTTAAAACTGTTTGTCAAAATGATGTTATTGAAAAGTTTCAATAACTTTACAAAATCCATTAATTGAAATGAACTTGATTAATTTTGTTCCCAACCTCATTAATTTATCTGCACTGAACTGCACATCGATTTATCTCTATGCTCCTAGTCCATCCATGTCATTTAGAATTTTATTGCCCCCTGCAGTTTTGAATTATCTGTAGTTGATCATATTAGTGCTTATTCCTCTTCTGGTTTGTTGATATATAGTACAAAGTGAACAACATGTGTCCTACCACTGCTTCATGTGACATGCCATTAGTCATATCTATCTTTTCAAACTATTATCACCAAAAGGTGTCCTCTGATTCCTGTTCTGTACTAGTTAGCTTGTTATCTGCAAAACATGCTTGCCTTTTCAGCTAATAAACAAACCTAATAAAAAAAAAAAAAAGGTCAGTACTCTATCGGTAGGCTTTGGAACATCTTTTTTTTAAATTAAAAATCTTTTGAAAGAAATCAGTGCTAAATATCCATAAATGATTCCTTATATTAATTGCTTTTTGCAGGACTAGTATTTTGTCTTCTTATTTTCTATGGCTTGGTCTCATAACTTGTGGTTTCAGGTAATAATCAGCATTTATTCTGATTACTACTTTAGTAGGATATTTCAATTTAAAGGTATTAATATAT